GACTAAGATCTTATCCCCACTGTCTCTGAATCAGTGGCTCAATGTGGGTTAAGTTATTGGAAGTCACATGTATTGTCTCTCAGCTCTAACTGCTGTGGCTGTCTGGATTTAAGCTTTCTCTTTTGGCTTCTGTCCTGTTAACTGGATAACTCCATGGCATAAGATCTGCTTGTCTTCCAGGTGCTAGGCTTTCTGTCTTTTTAACTGTGTTATTTGTGCAGGCTCGTGAAGCAGTAGAGATGCGTGCCCAGGTGGAGAGAAAGATGGCTCAGAAGGAAAAGGAGAAACATGAGGAAAAGCTCCGAGAAATGGCTCAGAAAGCCAGGGAGAGAAGAGCAGGGATCAAAACCCACGTTGAAAAAGGTACATTTCTGTGTTACTAAGATGCTATGGCTTTTTTTAGCACTCTGCAGTGTGAGTTTGGGACAATAACCTGAGAACTTAAGGTATCTAAATTCCAGCTGAAATTTCTAAGCATGACATCTGTTCATGTCTTCTCTCGATTGGTTAATTGACTGGCTGGTTTGATGGAATCCAGGTTTGAACCTCACAGCAGTATTTGGGTGTATGCAGGTTTAGGACAGTTGAGAATTTCAGAGTTATTAATGCAGCAGTTCAAGTGACGGCTTTCTTAGACAGTTCTAAACTAATTATTTTTTTAGAAGAAGCTTGTTGCAAGTGAAGGGCAACTTTGTTTAGAAGAACTAAACCATATTTTAAGTTTTCAAAGATGGTGAATGCAGTATTCTGTCTCTTGCACTGCAGAACTGTAGTTCTGTTGGCCATTAAGCCCAAAAAACCCCAGCTAACTTAACTAAATTGTAACCGTTGTGATGACTCTTATGCTTTGATTGAAATTACACTTCAAAGATCAAGATGATGAACTTACAGAGCAGTTATGGTCTCTCTAGAAGGTGGAGGGATATGGTCATATAATGCCAAACCCTGTAGCTGGGATGTATTAACCTCTTCCCAGCAGACTGGGGACTGGCAAGGTGGAGAGCCACTCTGTTGGAAAGGACCCAGGAGTCCTAGTGGCAATATGCTGAACAGAAGGCAGCAGTAACGCTAAGGGCACCCGAAGCTGCGTCTGCAGGAGTGTAACCAGTAGGTCAAGGGAAGTAATAATTTCCTTGTATGGGTGACCTGTTAGACTGCATCTGGCATACTTTGTGCAGTTATTTGCCTCCAGGTGCAAGACAGACATTGATAAACGGGAGTCAGTTCAGTGAAAGGCCATCCAAATACTCAGAGGGCTTGAGTGTCTGCCTATTCAGGAGATGCTGAGAAAATGAAGCTTGTTCTGCCAGGAGATGTGGCTTTGGGGCCAGGTAATGGGAACTTTCCCACAAGATCATACTATAGTGTTCCCTACAAGATTATCAGAGCTCTTCATTAAGCTGCACAGTGGAAGAATGACAGTGATCAAGAGCTGAAGCAAGAGGTTCCAAGTACATGAGAGGAGAACAATTTTCACCATGAGAACAAGCAGCAGTGGAACAGGTTGCCTAGGAAGTCTGGCAGTCTCAATCCTTACAGGTTTTCCCCGCTTGAGTGTGAACAGCCCTGAGGGACTTGGTTTGAATTCAGCATTGGTCCTGCTTACAGCAGGAGATTGTGAACTAGACTCCCTTCCAACCTGAGTGATTTTCTGATACTGCATCACAAAATGTTCTTCAAAGCACTTAAATCCCTGTGTGTTTGAACAGTATTTTTACACTTAAAATGATGATATAATGATCTGTAAGTGTTTTAGGATATTAATTCTTAGATGGACGAGTATTCTAAGCTCTTAAAGGTTGGGAAAACCCAGTTACTGGGATATGTCTACTTTGATTCTTGTCAAGGACAGTCAATTGCTTGTGGCATAAGAAACCTATGGTGTTCCATGTGTTCAAAGTGTAACATTTTAAATAGTGCTAAGGGTCACTACTCTTCTGTAAAAGAATACTGAGTAGAATTACCAGTGCCAGTGTCTCTGGCATAATTAATTCAAACTTCAAATATATGTCTATAATGAGCAATCTTGCATTTGTTCAGAGGATGGAGAAGCAAGAGAAAGAGACGAAATCAGACATGACCGGCGCAAAGAGAGACAGCATGACAGAAATCTTTCCCGGGCAGCCCCTGACAAAAGGTGAGTCAAAAAAAAAAGCTGCTTTATTCCTGTACTGGCATTGGCTTCCCCACTAGGGAAACTATTACATTGGGCTTTCTTCTGCTCGATGTAAGTGCCTAAATTATCCCTTGTGGAGATATTCACTGGTATGAAGCACGGTCCGTTCATTGTGTGGAAAGGCATTACTCTTGTTAAAATACTGGAGTACTCTCTTCAGTGTAGACTTTTCAACATGAATGAGAAAGGGGGGGTGATGGTGTGTTAGTTTTGGGTGTTGGTTCTTTTGATTTTAGCAGAACTTCAGTATATTCAGATTTAATTAAGTGTTGACAGCAAAGGTTTAAACCTGGACCCTATAACTTCGGTGAGACCAGAGAATCAATGGTGGTTTTGTTTCTTGAAACTATTAATTTAAAGTAAGCTTAGATTTATGAATGTAGGGTGAAGTATCTTGTATGCTGAACCCAGTGAGATTTCTGAGCACCAATGGTTTCTGGAGGCTTAAAATCTCTAATATCTTAAAATTAGATTGCTTGGCCTTCCCAGAATGTAACTACACTGGTTCATGCAAAAAACAAATATGACATTTTAGACGAAGTCAGCTTGATGTAAATTGCAGATAGTGGAAAGCAAATTTAAATGTCATGCCCAGCTGAACATAACTTTTCCAAGTGTTTCCTTTGCCAGGAGACAAATTTTAAATGTTACCTTGTAAAGAAGGGCAACAGTCGAAATCTGGCTCCTGAGGCAAATGGTTAGCAACTAATACAGGATCAGGTTGCAATTGAGCATGTCACAAGTATGGTTTACTGACCTAATAAAACTTTAAATTTTTAATTCAGGTCAAAGCTGCAGAGAAATGAGAACAGAGATATCAGTGAAGTTATTGCCCTAGGGGTACCCAACCCCCGGCCATCCAATGAAATCCAATATGACCAGAGGCTGTTCAACCAGAGCAAGGTAAAATACCTTTTCACAGCTCTGTAGCTTTCTATGAGAACATGCTCATCCTTCCTTAGTGGGTATGACCAGAATACTAAAGGGAGCCTTCTTTTATGGTTAGTGCGGATACACTCGGAAAGCAGTCTCTACATAACTGGTTAGGAAATTATTCATTTCCTTTATCCATAACCTTGGCAAAAAAGATGTAATATTCTGAATGTATAACTGGATTAAAGTGTTGTGATTTTTCTCACTGGGGAGTGGAGAAAAAGAAATTATTTTTGCCTTCAAGCTGCGGTGACCTCATTTTCTTCTCTTGTACAAATGTACTGACTGAATAGGGAAATCGGCTTTCAGAGAGGAGCAAGTAAATACTTTCTATTCCCATTATTGCTTATGTTAATAATGCTTCTCAAGATATATATAGTTAACAGCAATATTTATTTTCCCTGAACTTTATACTATTCAGAGATGAAAAAGTAGATTAGGCTTCAGAAAGTCCCTGAATAGACCTGCAGTTTGTCAATCACTCTTTTTCATGTCTCCAGTGAAAGATTTGCAGGCAGAAGGGAAAGCTGATGAACTAAAAAAGAACAAGCAGGCACTTCTACGCCTCTGTGTGATTTGGATCAGTCAGCTTAAATCATGTTTTCCAGAAATTCTGAATAATACACATTTCTGTATGGTTGTACTTAGCCATTAGACAGCTGTACTTGTAGGGTAGACTGAAATGATCCATTATTCTGAAATATGGATGGCTATAATCCTTCCTGTTGCTCTCCAGAAGAGTAGGACTGAGGCTTGTAATGTTACATACTCTGGACTTCATCCCAGACCCAAACCCACTCATATCCTGATTAAGTGCTTGGAATAATTTGAAATCAATAGTAGATCACACAATACCATTTTTGTGTATCTGAGTAACACCATCAGTGTATTTTGATGTTAAATAAGTTAACTGAAGTTTTGCAGTCTCATTTTTGGTGTTCTGCTGTTCTTCACAGGGTATGGACAGTGGCTTTGCTGGAGGAGAGGATGAAATTTATAATGTTTACGACCAGCCTTGGAGAAGTGGCAAGGATATGGCCCAAAACATCTACAGGCCAAGTAAAAATGTGGATAAGGACATGTATGGTGATGATCTAGAAGCTCGAATCAAGACCAACAGGTAAGAAAATAGAGTTAAGAAATATTCTTAATTAGTACTCTGAAGTCGATCAGCTGAGTATCACCTTCTCCTGCAGGTTTGTTCCTGACAAAGAATTTTCTAACTCGGATCGTAACACCAGAGGGAGGGGCAGAGATGGACCAGTTCAATTTGAGGAGGATCCATTTGGTTTGGACAAGTTTCTGGAAGAAGCTAAGCAACATGGTGGTTCTAAACGGCCCTCAGATAGCAGCCGCCCCAAAGAACATGAGCATGAGAGCAAAAAGAGGAGAAAGGACTGAACGCCTCTGCTCCTGAAGAGGTTGGGAAATGGACTGCAAGCTTCGACTTCACGCAAAAGGATTTTTAATATCAGAGGTGTATAGTAGGATGGCATTGTAACAAAGCAGTTCACAAGTCTTGTGTGGATATGTACACACACCTGTTCTTCTACATAGGACAGCTGCCCCCGGAGAGAGGAGGAATAGAGACCACTTTGAAACATTTCGTAAGGGAATTAGTTGTTTCTTAGCAAGTTCTCTGACTTTGCTGATTCTCCCTTGCCCAGCATCTCAGGGTAAGAATGCAGACTCCTTCTACGGCTTTAGTTTTTGTAGGTAGTTCAAGCTTTGACTTAATCTGTTAAAAGCTTTCCTGTATATAATTACTGTCTTATGCTGTAACAGATGCTGGGGTGTTAATGATTCAGTGTTTCTTTAGTGTGGCTATACAGTTTATTTGAACAACGGAGGGGAAACAGCTGGATTCTGTTTTAAAACAAGTACTCGTTCATAGTTTCTCAGTAATCTTTATTTTAGTTTCTTTACGTTTAGTGAAATAAAGCCGCCTTCCACCATTCACTCCCTTGGATTCCTTCTTTGACTGCGTCTTCTACGGGTCTGCTGTTTGAGAGCGAGCTGAAAACAATGGAAATTATTCAGATTAGCTAGGCAAGAAGGTTCAGTATTTTTCATTTCTGATCATCCAGAACATTGATATGGAAAGCAGAAAATATGTTTATAACCGGTTCAGTTCCATGAGCCCCAAGACAAGGCTTTCCTGACAGGAAAGTTGAATATATATTGCACAGCAATTGCTGACTGTATCAGCAAAATGCATCTTTAAAGCTTGTGCTTTCAAGTGGAACTAATAGAAAGTAACTGTCTAAACGTAGCCTAGAATGAAGTGGCAGAAGTGCTCATGTATTCTAGAGAAGCTGCATTTTTTAAGAAATTAAGCTAAGTGGTGTCTGCCTTCTGCTTTTATTTCACTATAAAGAAGCCTTTTAGCTCTTGCTTCTCTTGTGAGAGTACAGGCCTTGAAGCCTAGGCAGTTAAATGAATGTGGCTATTTTACAGCTTCAAGAATAAAAAGCAGCAAAATAATTTACAGGAAATTGACACTAAATACTCACCTATACTTATACTTATTTCGATAATTGCATACAGGTAATACCCTAGACCAGCACAATTTATATGGATGGGATCAGCCTGGTGCCTGTCTTGTCACAGTTTATGGAGTCTTAATTTCTGCTTCCATTTTTGTACCACAGTTGTAACTCACAGGTCAGTTCTTCTGGGGAATAGGTGACCACAACCAGTGAAGACCTTGCAATAGTATGAACCATGCCAAGCAAAACACTTTCTCACAATTGGCATACCGCATCTCTGAAGTCTCTTGCCAATTCATTTTACTCTTACCATCTCCTAGCATTCAAAGTCTCAAGACAGAGCAACTAGTTGTGAAAAGAATGTTGAAGAATTCCTCTTAATTATTCAAAGGCATGAACTGATCATGTCTGGTCTGCTTGTTGCTCATGGCTTCATTCTGTACTACTAGGTCTGAGTAGCAATATCAGCTGAAGCACACATAAGTCTGTCAAAAAATCCCTAATTTAGGGAACACACTAGATGCAAGATTTTAATGATTTTGATGTGAGACCTGATAATAAATCATTGGCTGTGGGCAGCCACTATTCTTTTTTCCTTATCTGTCATCACCACTGCATACTAAATTTTTGCAAAGCAGTGGGATGGCCATTTCTTTGCTCTGTTTCTTCGCTGCAGCGAAGCTAGAGGATACAGCTGTCTGGCTCTAACTGACCGGTCAATGACACGCACTTGCACTAGACTGTGCACACTGTCTCAATACCATGAACTGACAGTGCAAAGTGTCACATTTTTTCCTTCGCTACCATGTAAAATGTTAAAGGTGGAGAGAACTGTAAATTAGTTTTAGTGGAGTTTTTTTTTATCTTGAACACATGAAAGCAGGTAGCTGATTTCTCCTGTATGAAATGATGGTTGAAGAAAAATAAATTTCACTGAAGTTCAAAGATTAGCATTACTCTGTCATATTTCCCCTGCCAACCAACATCCAGACTGGATACTGGATTGGAATCCATCTGCAGAAACCTGTATTGCAAATGACAAACTAACTGCATAGCAGATCCCAAATGGTTTTACTGCATTCACATTCCTTTAGCATAGCAGTTTTTGGTCTCTCTGGTATCTCTACAATCTTCGACCCTAACAACTTGAGGTGAGAGAAGGGAATAAACAGAAGTGTTAATTATTTAGAAAACATTGAAAGCATGCTGAGTGGCAAAATGCTTAATCACACTTCAAATATTTCCATGTTACTGTGTCAAATCACAGGCAGAGTGTCAACTCATTACTTCATTAAGGGAATTAGCACATTACCTTGGAACCTTCAAGTATGTGGGAATCCTTCTTTAACACATTCTGAACATCTTCTGGAGTTGAGAATTTAATCCAGCAATAACGTCTGTGAAAGCCTGTATCTCTGTCCTAATCACCAGTTAAAAAAAAAAAATGCAATTACTATACAAAATACTCACATAGGCTTTTTAAACTTTCTACGGATATTGAATTTAAGGATTTGCACACTTGCTGTTTCAGGAGCTTTTTTCACACTTTGACTTCTGCTATCATTGACAGCACGTGCAGGCCTAGCAAAGGCTGTTCTGCCTCCCTTTCAATTTGAATCTAGCAATAATAAATTCAAGATTTTAAGTTATAGTTGAAGCCTGGAATAATGCACAGACATTTTCAAACTGCAGTATTTACCTACTAATAAGACAGTCACAACAGAACTGACATTCAAGTGGCTGCAGTACTTGAAAAGCATTCAGCAAGATAAAGCAGCTGCTTAAGAGACTAAGAAAGCAGGCCTCAGTTCAGGGTTCAATCTGCCACTCGGATCATCAGGCATGACTGGCAGCACTTCCAAACCACCAGTGAAGTTTTCGCCCACATGGCACTGTCTGTTTTCAGTATCACAGCAATGGCTAAATTAGGCTGTCTTACACTGCTGATAGATTTTTTTTTATCTCTGGCAGTTTTAAACATTAATAAAACTCCCAAAGTAATCACTGAATCAAAACATACACATGGGCATCGCTTCAATCAGTGATGGAGCTGGGTTTGCAACAAAGCAGTGCAGTCTGTCCTGGGCCTGAGGAACAGTGGGGCAGGCACGCACCTAAGCTTCAAGTGTTTGGAAATAGCCAGCCTGTTTCAAACTATCTTTTTCCATTTCCAAATTAGTCCTCAACTGATAGTGAACCCATCACCTCACTAACTGAAGTTCACTACACACTGAGCTTAATCTAACAGACCATTACTTCACATGGAGAAACACAGGTGGGCAGGAGAACCTCTGCCTCAGTGATGGCCTGCAACTTACCCATAAAGGAACACTTTTTTGACTGCTCATCTCCTAAGAAACTGCACTACATAGTACGATCCCTGACCTACACACTCGGGAAATAAACAGATAAAGAGGCATGAACAGCTTGGCAGCACCCTGCGGAGGTTATGGTTAGCCCACACTCTGGGTGAGGTCTGAACCCACAGCAGGAAACGACTGTAGGTTTATACCTACACCTTTAGTATTTTGGCCAGTGAGATCAGGCACATAAAAACTTTATTCTCTGTCAGAGGAATGATGACATAGAGAAGCTCAAACCACTTTTGGGTTCATTATTCAGAACCGGCAGCATCAACAGGATCTGAGGGATGTGCTTTGTACAACTCTGAAAGCCAGTGGAGACCACTAAACGTCAATAAGGCCTACAGCTCGCAGATAAGTGGTGGCACCCGCTGGGAGAAGGAGCCAAGGGTGGAAAGCACTGACAACCAGACTAGAGTACAAGATGAGGCCCCCAGAGAGCAGCTCCAAGGCAGCGGGGAAGCAGTTCCGGGGCAGGGCCTCAACCTGCAGCCCTTCCCCGCTTCACGGAGAAGGCACGAACAGCGGCCCGGACGACGCGAGAGTACTCACGAACGGCAGCTGGCATCTCTGCACCGACCCGAACTGGGAGAAGTACTCCTTCAGCTCCTCTGTGGGGAAACGCGCGTGGTCACCTCGGCCCGGCGCCTCCGCGCAGCCGCGCCGCCCTGGCCCGGCCCCCGGCCTGTGCCGGCGGCACACGCGGAGGGGCAGGCCGACCCCGCCAGCTCCGGCACCGGCGAGGGATGGGCCAGGAAGGGAGGGAGGGGAGAGATGGGGACAGACTCACTGCTCGACACCGTCCAGGGAATCTCAGCCACGAAGATGTCGAAGAGCTGCCGGGAACGGCGCCCAGCAGCCCGCGCTGCGCCAGCCACCGCCATGTCTGGACTGCGGCGGGAGGGAGGGAGGGACGGCCCCGCCCCGCAGCACCGCCCGCCCCGGCCAGCCCGAAATGGCGGCGGCGGCGCTGACCCGGGAAGGGGGGGAGGACGCGTTCCGCCGGCTCTTTCGCTTCTACCGGCAGCGCGACGTGTCCGACCTGCGGGGCGTGGTGGACTTCTCCGCGCCGGGGGGCCAGGTAACGCCGGGCTGCTCCTGCCCGCGCCCCGCGGCGAGGGGCTGCGAGCGCGTCCCGCCCTCTGCGCGGTGTCTCAGCGCGGGGCTGTGGCGGTACCGCTGCAGCCCTTCTCTCCACCTGCTGCTTTCCCTTTGTGCTCGACGCCGAGTCCCTAATGCCGCCCCTTTCTGGCTAGAGAACACTGCCCTCCAGCGCTGAGCCTCTTACGGGTCCCTGTGACTCGAGAGGGGCTGCTGGGAAGGGCCCGGGGCCCCTCTGCCCGCGGGCCCCAGAGCCGGGCTCGCCCAGGGCCCCCTTGGCCCGTGGGACCCCGCCCGGGGCCACAGAAGGCCGCCCAGCCGCCCCTGCCCAGCGCGATGCCTAGGCACAGATTTGCTACTTTTGCTTATGTTTAGTTCTATAATGTTTAAGTAGCTCCCTGCATTGCAGTAGGTGGTCTCCAAAGCCTGTGATAGAACCACGTGTAACACGTTAAGAGAAGCAAAGGAACGTGTGGACAGGAAAAAGCAAATTTCACTCTCGGAGCTGACACTGTTTCCTGGGCCTGCTGGCCCTTGTCGTAGCCCTGAAATAAGTGGGTGAGCTGGGATCAGCTTCCCCCTGCTGTGCTGTCTTCCCACTGCTTAAGTTTCTTCTCCTTTCTCACTCCCCTGTAATAAACGCTTGGCTTAGTCATCAGGGCAAGTTCAGCTGATGCGGTGGGTTGGGGGCATGTGGTCAGGAGCACAGCTGAAAGTAGCAGCCGTCGAGGTTAGTTTACCATGTCTTGAGTAATAGAGAAGTGATCCTCAAAACTAGTTTTCTCTTTTGGCACCTCATGAAAGGATGACAGATACCTGCTGAAGTATTGTTAACGAGAGATTTTTTGCTTATGAGCTTTTATCAAAAAAGAGTAGGAAATACAGTGAAAATGAAACTTTGACCAATTTTTCATAGTTCCAATGCTTAGTATTTTGGTTTTACTCTTCTATTAAAATATTTATTTTTCTTTATTTTTTATTTTTAGGCTATAATTTTGCTGTTATAAATGGAACACAAAGCCTGACCCGTATGACATTGTTAGAGGCATTAGCATTAACCAAGGAAGTTGTTAACATTTCAGCTTTTCTTGAGCTTGCAGCAATTCTGTATTTGATAAAGGATTACAACATTATGGCTCTTCTGGGAAATTCAGAGTACCTGAAAGCATCCCAAGCTCCCCTCTCAATATCGTTCTTTTTGTGCCTGTTACCTTCTAAGATCAGGTGACAGCTTAATAGGGAAAACATCTTTTATTACTCTTTCCCCCAGCTTAAAAACATCTGGCTTTTCTCTTAAAGAGCTATAGGCCAGGCAGAATGGCCTAGATAATATTGCTTCTTTTCTCTCAGAAAACTGCTTCAAGCAATTGAGCTTTTCAGTGAAGTGTGACATACCCCATCTGCCCTGTTACCAGGCTTATTTAACTGATTCAGCATGTGGAATTCTTCAGTATAGAAACCTCCTGTTCTTCAAAAGCCCAGGCAGCAGCTGGTGTGGAAGCAGTTTGAGCAGGCAGAAAGGTGGCAGTCTTAGAGATAGAGCCTTCCTGGGGGATGTTCTGTGGACAGGACTGTAAACTAAGCTCCTCAAGGCTGGCAGTCACAAAGCTGCTTTTGGCAGAGAGCTGAAAAAATGGCAAAACTGAGCACATTGCCCAGCACTAGTTTAGATTTTTTTCTCAGAAATTCTATGTATGTAATTTAGTCCTGTTGCTCAGAAGATGTTTACCAGAATTGTCAGCCTGCAAAGAGACTGGTTTACACACGCACCACTGCAGAGTCTGTGTGCAAAGGCCTTAATTTCATACACACTTCAAGTTGTCATAGACAAAGTCTTGCTTCTCTCTGCCTGCTTATCCCTACTGTGCCTGGCCATCTCTTTCCTTATGTGAGCCTGTACATTTCCACAGCTGCATGGAGAGCTGAACTGGGGAACTAAGATGGAACAAAACCTACCTTACTCTACCCTGCCTTTCTTAGGACACTTCCCTGTTGCAAGGGAAAAAAAGGAGTGGGAACACAGTAGATGAGTCTGGGGTTTTTTTCCCCCAAATGTTGGCTTATTGCAGCTTAAATACATTTGTTATTGCAACCTAAAAAAATGTGTCAAGAAAATATATTTTGCTAAGCCTTGGGCTGTTGACCCTGCTGTTGAGAACAGAAGTGGCAGTGTGGTATTCAGAACTGACAGGGTTTCTGCAGTCCTTCACATCAGACAGCTTTGGGTACTTAATTGCTGTACTGCTTCTCTTTCTGTAACTTACAGAAGAGAATAGGCACCTGCCCTGTAGGGTCAGGAGCAACTTGCATTTGGGATGTTCTTTGAAGGTATCAAGTGTTATGGATATGTTGCTCTCTAATGGAGATTGATAATTACCAGAATGTTTTATAATGATGAGGCTGTACTGTGGAAATGGATAAATAATGATGATTTTTTTTCTCATTGTTACATACTGTTTGGGTGTTTTTTTATGAATGGAGGACACCTGTCCCCATCTCTAGTATTGTAAAAGTATTGTAAAAGCTTGTAGGTATCTTCTGATTTTTATGTTGAGCTCTGTTAGCAGGATGCCCTGTCCTGGTCACAGCTGTTTAGACACAGTTCTGTGGTACAGTTGGCATTTTCATGAGACTTTGGAATGTGGTAGCAGTCTTTCTTATAGGTGCTAGTTTTGGACAAGTTTTGTATTTCTTACTTTGTTTTTTTTAACCAGATTTGTTTTCTTTTGCCAGGTGTTCAGATCGCAGCTCAGCATTTCTTCAGTCAGTGATCAAGATGCCTACAGAGCAGGATTACAGCCAGTTAGCCAGTGGAAAGCCTATGGCCTCAATGGGTATCCAGGTAAGTGCTTCTGATTTCAGGAAAAATTAAACACAACCTTGTTGTTTTGGATTCATGCATCTTCTATCTCATCTAGCTAAAGGGTGGGATGCAGTGATATATATATAAAGGGCTAGTTGTTTCACAGTGAGATCAACCAGACCATAGCTCAAGAGAATGGATTCCTGTTGCCTTTGGGAGAGACTTTATTTCTGTAGAATCTGTTTTTCCTCAGTATATGTCATGCAAATTGGATAAGTGGCTGAAATACAGCAATTCCAGAGTTGAAGTGTGGCATTTACTTGTCAGTGTAGGACACCGAGTACAGTAAGTGATAAGAACCTCTTGGCCTATTCAATGTACAGAGTAATTTCATTAGGCAGGTTATTTCAGAAATTGAAATGTGTCTTAGGTTTGCAGTTCAGCTGGTAGAATCACAGAAAGAGGTTAGGTTGGAAGAGACCTCCAGAGGTATGGACCAACACCCAGATTAAAGCAGGATGAAGTTGCAAATTAGATCAGGACTCTCAGAGCTTTGTATGGATGAATTTTGGAAATCTCCAGGTACAGAGATTACACACCCTCTCTGGGCACCTGTACCATATTTGGTCACTCCTGTGTTTTTTTTTAAGTTTTTTTTAATGTTATATCTAATAAAAATTTCTCTTGCTGTAATTTGTGACTGTTGCCTCCCATAATCTTGCTGTGCACCTCTGAGAAGAATCTGGCTCCCCTCCTCCCTCACCAAGGTAGCGCTCACCAATTCTGGGAAATGTGTCACCAGCCCTCACTGTATCGGGTGTGCTACTGACTCACATGCAGTTTGTCCTCAAGGCCCCCTGGCCTTGTTTTGGAGCTGCTCTTGGATTCTCGGGCCATACTGTTGCATGGGATTATTCTGCCCCAGGTGCAGGATTACCAGTTGGAACTTCTTGTGGTTCTCATTAGCCCATTCCTTTGGTTTGTCAAAGTCCCTTTCAGTGGCATCTGTAGCCTCTAACATATCCACTACTGCCCCAGTTTAGTGTTATCTGTAACTGAAATGAGGATGAACATCTTGTCATCCAGGTAGTTAATGTAGATGTAGTTATCAGTCTTGGCCTCAGGATTAAGGAACACAGCTCATAACAGCCATTGGCTAGACTTTGAATCATCAAATCACTATTCTTTAAGCCTGGTGGTCCAGCCAACTTTTGCTCACCCTTTTAATTTGCTCATAAAATCCATAGGCCCCCAATTTGGCTCCAGTGACGCTGCAGGAGGCTGAGTGGAAAGCTTTTCTAAAGCCAAGGTAAACAGCATCCCCTACTTCCCCCTTATGTGGATATCTCACTGTAACAGGTAGTAAGGCTGGTTAGACGAAATTTGCCTTCCATACTCTCAGTTCCCAACCACCACGTATCTGGAAATGGCTGCCTTGAAAGTTTGCTCCATAATCTTTCCAGGGGTTTTGTTAAGGCTGATGAGCTTGTAGTTCCCCAGATCCTCTGGATTTGTGTTTGATTGATTTTGTTTTTTCTTGTGTTTCTTTTGGTACGCTGGGACCTCGGTCCGTTTCTGTGTGGGTTGCTGTGAAGCCAGCCTACCATTTCTGAAACTGAGGCAGCCGTGCTACCCATCTGGCATTTTTAATTCACCGGGAATTGAATAACTTCAGGAGAAAAGCTTAAGCCTCTTGTCTCTACACACTTTTTGTTCCACTTACATTATAGCTGCTCTCCTTTGATCTGCTTGTCATTTACCGTCTGTCTAAACATCTTTCCTAGTAATTACATAGGGGGTGTAGGGAATCACAAGTGTTTCACTGAGCTGCATTTTTCTTCTGCTTTGGGAAAGGAAACTTTTCACTAAAATGAAATGTAAATACATTGACAAATTCTCTGTTCTGTTTAGAATCAAGTCATGTGTGGATTTGAAAAAAATAATATTTTATCCTTTTCCAGCTACCTTTTACCTGTGCATCTTAAAGCACTACAAGATATTTAACCAACTGCCCCAATAGCCCTCTAAATGAAGTTAGAATTTCTTGTTTGTCTGTGGGCAAATGGAAGGGAAGTCATTTGGTTTTGTCCCCACAGTGAGCAATGAAATATTAGACTAAAGAAGCTGGATGAATTTCTGTTGTGGTGACCTGAGTTCTGTGAGATGTGGCTGATGCTCTCTTTGAGTCTTTGTAAACGTTGGTTTTATGAGAAGTTTTCTTGTTAGACATCTGCATGTCTTATCTTTCTTTTGACTGAGGCTGGAGGCCACTTTCACTAGATACAAATAAATTCCTACTGTGTAGCAAGATTTTGCTGCAGTAAGAGAATTGCATCTGCTTCCTCAAGGCTGTTTCCTTTAGTGTACAGATCCCCAAAGAATTCTTCTTTTGCCCTTCCCACTCACACCAACTCTTTCAAGGCCAAGAGGTTCAATTGTGTTGTCACAGGCTTGTCTTGTGGTGTTCTTCAGTCACTTCAGAGAGATTGCTACAGAATATATTTCTTATTTCCTACTCTTCTCTCTCCTATGTGTGGCAAGTCACTGATTTCTAGCACTATTAATCTTGAGTGTTTGCGTAGAATTTTATAGTAAAACTCTGTAACTGCTAGGAATTCAGTTTCTGCCTTTCTTGACACAAGAAGCATAGGAGTAACCCACTTTTTAGTTGTTAGTGCTTTTGTAAATCTAGACTAATCTGGTTTCTCAGGAGAAGCCTAGGTCAATGAAAGGTTTGGAGAAACATGAGCACGTTCTAAGCTTCAGATATAAAAGCCATAAAATCTGGATTTTTATTCTCACCTCTGCTTATAACTAACCCTTCAGGCTTCAATTCCTTCATTAATACCTGGAGATAATACATGCATAGTAGAGTGTAATTTCATTAATGTAGTAAAGTGCTTTGAGAACCCCACATCAAAAGCTATAGAAGGGAAGGGCAATATTGTTATTCTGTTCTATGCAGAGGCCAACAGGAAGTAAATTTAATGCTTCTGGCAAAGAAACTTCTTGTAACCAAACCTGTCAAAGGCTGCCATAGCCTGAAAGTGCAGGCAATGGAGTGAAATGAACGACTGTATGTTATTAATACACTGAAGGCTTTTTTTCAAACCAGTTTCTTTAATCTTGAGTCTGTGAGGTATGCTGGCAGAAAGCTCTTTTTGTGTTTTTATTACCACTTTCATAAGGCCACAAGGCAAGTTTGTATCCTACTGAGACTCCTAGCCTTGCTTCTTCCTTTTTCATCTATTTTTGTCTGTTTAACTTGATATGACTAAGAAGTTCAAAAAGACATAGAAGGCCAAAACTTTAAAACCTTCTTTTTCTTTGTTCCTCCTATACCCCTATATTTCTTTATAGGTGGATTTTGTGTGGATGAGTCTTACTAAATTCACAGCCTTTGAGAGAGTGCCTTGATTCTTAGAGTAGGTACAATACAGATTAATAGCATCTTCCTGTCAGACACTCATTCATCAGTATGTTGACCCTGGACTGGAAGGAAACACCTCCAAGGTGCTGGGGGAGAAAATTCCAGTGAGGAATCCTGCTAGCACTCCTGGTGATGGCAGATCATATGTCAAGGACTCCTGTCTGTTAAGATATAGACCAAAGAATCTGTTACACCACTGCTAACCCACTTTCTTGGGCTGCTCCTTGAACCCTGCCTGAGGTGCCTGGCTAAATGAATGCACAAGACTACCTGCATGTTTACTCTTTTTTATTAATTAACAATGCCTGAAAAGTATTTGCAACAGGCAGTTTGAAATATAATTCGACTTTTATCCCTCTTTCTGAATGTTACCATACTGAAATATGTACGGATACAACCAGACTTACCTGGAAATAAGCATGAAGCAAAGGAGAGGACCCTTTACATTAGTAGAGACTTGCTCAGCCTGGGTACTGTTTTCTACAGTTCTGGGCACTGAAGCAGCAATAAAAAGACCGTATGAGTTCAGATACAGAAATAAAGCTAGTTTGAAGCCTAGAAAAACTAGGGCAGAATTACTTTTAACTCTGCAAGGTTTAAGAGAAAAATCACATTGAATCATTTAAAAAATAAAATTTACTCCAAGCAGATGACTTTCCAATTTCTTACTTCTTTATTTCCTGTAATCAATATGGCTTATGCAGATATGTTCTTTATTGTCGTTTTTTACTTGGACCAATGTTGGCTGCCCTCTTTGCCTTCTACCTTGTGGCCACCATTTGTTTCTACTGAAAAATTGCAATAGGTTTTAATTTAGCTAGAATAGATTTCACCAGCTTACATGTGCAGTCAGTGGTTGTATGTCTAAGGTGTTTTTTCACTACCTCCAACACATGTCCTTTGCTCTAGATTTGGAAAAAAAAAAAAAAAAAAACAGGAAAATGCCTAATCATGCTTTCTCTCCATCCCCTGCTTTTTTCTTTGTGGTCAGGGTTTATTTTCATACCAAACCCTTTCCTTCCTGGCTGCCAGCGACACTGGGTGAAACAGTGTCTCAAGCTATACCCACAGAAACCCAACGTCTGCAACCTGGACCTGCACATGGCTCCTGAGAAGACCACTGACCTGTGGGGACAGAGCAAGGAGCAGCTGAAGTAAGTCCACAATCACATTTGGTAGCCAAAACTCATGGAGCCAGGTCTCAGCTCCAAGAAGGTCTAAGAAAATGAGCAGAGAAGGGAAGGGAAGCTGAAAAAGACTCTGTACATGCTGGCAATATAAATGGTGTCAGGCATGCCAGGTTAAAGATGGATGTTTCATGGCTTCATTTGCATCCTCGTTAATTCTCTACTTTCATACTCAATGGGATTTTCTAGTAGCGTGTTGTTTTAAAGCCGTCAATGAAACATAAAATAGTGACCGTGGTTGATATCAGGCTGTTTGGAAGCTTGCTGAGCTCAGCTACAAGTGAAACCATGAAGTCCCTCTAGGCCTCAGTTTTCCTGAGGCAAAAGGGATCCTTTCCAAAACTCCCCACTCAATACTAGCACTTCTTCCCAGTCAGTTCTTGGACCCAGTACACTGTATTTGAAAGGCTCTTATCTGCACTTCTTTGAACTTCTCAAGTCAACCAGTTTCTTTGTGTATATTTTCTAAAGTATTTCTTTTGGTTTGATTTTGTTTATGTTTTTTCTTAATTCACTATGAGATTGAATTGAATGTATCAAATGTACCATTTTAATGGCAATCCTGTTCACTTTGAAACATTTCTACAGATTCAGAATTCTGTGGCTGATGCAGCTGCCTTTCCTCTACCTGATTTGGAATTTAATGGAGAATTTGTCTCAGTTTTGAAGTCAAGCAGCAAGTTTTTGAAAAAAAGACAAAGTTTTTAAAACCTGAACTTGAATAAAGTCACCTGTAAAGATACATACGAGATTGTGTAAACAGCTTCTATCTTTTAGCTGCTTGGGTATTTATCATTACTTTATCAATTTCACTGCTCATTTTCCCTAACAGTTGTTTCATGTGATGGTGCAACCGAAGTTCCCTACAACGCTCGTCTTCCACATCAGTTTTTTTAGTGAGATTGACATGCTGAGATTTTTCTTCAAAAATACTCTTAACATCTACAAGATATGGAATGGCAAAAGCAAGATTTGGACGTCTAACTATTTGCACCTAGGAGAGAAGTTATGCCCCCACTTGTGTTTTCCAGGCTTAGTCAGAATTAGTTACAGAAATTCAGACGTCTTTTTGTGTTCCATCAAGGATGAAAAATGTTCTTTGAAACGATTGTGCATTGTGCCCAATAGCTGAAAAAAGTGGGGTATTGTTCCAGCTTGACAGGCCTCTCCCAGCAGCACCTCCTGTGTGCAGAGAATGATCAGAACAGAGGTTAATTTGCAGCTGAATACAGTTCAGTTGAAAACAGTGTTTGGAAGAGTGATGGCTGGCAGAAACACTGGCAGTTTTATTAAGCACTTGCCTGAGTCTTCAAGTGAGCAAACTGCTGTATTTGTTCCTTTACCCAGGGGCAGCAGATCAAAGTAGCCAACTTCTCTAGGATCTGGAGTGAGAGCCTTTCAGGGAGGGGAGAAACAGTGCTTAACTAAAAAGATGTCAATTTCCAAGATAGGTCACAACTCTTGAATGCTTTTTAAAGGCATCAGGAAGATGCATAAATGTGCTTGGATCATGACTCATTTGCTCTTTTCAGGATGCAGGAATCACAAAATAGGAAGAGTTGATACAGTTCCTAGACATATATATACCCTATGCTTTCCTCACAAAGTGGAGCTTTAGTATTTTCTGTAGTGCTGGGGACAATTAAAAGTGTAAAAGGGGGTAGAGAATCCCTACAAGGGATATGCATCTATATGTATGTTCCTGTGTATAAGAAAAAGGCTTCAGAACAAAGCCCCCATGCTTTTCAGTCCTGTTCTAACATAGTTATATCAGAATTTTTCTGCGCTTTCTGGTTGGAGCACCTGCTGCCCAGACCTAGGAACTCAATTGTTTCCAGATGCATAACACTAAGACTTTCTTCTTTGTAGCAATTGCATGCAAAATATCAAGTTCTGGGAATAAGAACCTCCAGAACATTTTGGGGTTCCCACCTTCAAATAAGAATGGTAAATTGGTGTGGCATCAGACCACTTAGTCCTTCTGCTTTAGGGTTGTCACTTAAGAAGAACAGTTCTTTGTCCCGCGTAGCAGATGGGGGACACCTGCAGTCCAGATTTCTTGATGTTACAAGTGTATGGTCATAGCTAGAACAGTCTTGCTTGTTACTGAACATTGAGTCAGACCATCCTAAGGACTTCTTGTCAGAGTTCCAAGTAGTAGAACTAACTGTCCTTTGCAGTATTAGGCAGCATGCTATGCTTCACTGTGAGGCAAATCGTTTTCCTTTCTTGTAATTTTCCATTAAGTGCCTAGAATATTTCTTCACTGCATTTGCAGCTTTCAGATCTTCAGATTCTGGTCTTTCAGTTTCAGGTGCTCAAATAGTACATGTTTAATTCTGACTTCTAAATCTGCACCAGTTTATTGTCTTGTCCCCATCTGATAACCTGTTAGGTACCATGTTGAAAACACAAGCTTTCAAACTGACAGCAGTTGGCAGTAGGTCCCATAGCTTGCACAAATTGCATGAACTATATTTTCAAGGTCTTCAGAGGAAAAAAGTATGGACACTGAAAATAAAAGTTTAGCATTGACTGGTTTTAATAGGCTGTCATATGGATGAGTGAATCTCATTACTGTATGCTGCACCACCAGAAGAGCCCTCAGAAATTAACACGTTCTCTTTCTTTCCATTTTGTCTTTGTAGAAGGAAAGGTTCCAGTAAACGGGAGCCCAGAAGCTTACTGGAGAAGCTGCGCTGGGTGACCCTTGGTTACCATTATAACTGGGATACTAAGGTATTGAAATTAAATTCTTCTCCATTTTTGTTACCTGTAAGCGCTAAAAATGGCAAATAGAGGAGGATATCATCAAATAAAATGCGTTTGATTCTACAAGACAGTCTCAAGGAAAGGCTGTAACAAAGTATGCTTTTTAAGAGTGTTTTAATCTGTATTAGTTCACTGTGAAGGATTTAATAGCACAAATCCATTGCTGCATTCTTTCCTTTGAGAGTTAACATGATAGCATACACTCAGCTCTAGATCTGCAATTCTTATTTAAAGGTGAGAATTTTTACCCTACCAAAAGGGATGATCACAAAAGCATTGTTAACTGCTTAAGGTCAGAATGACTTCTGAGAAACTACTCCTTTTTGAAGGGATGAACAGGAGCAAGAAGAGCCTGCTGTTCTTGTGATTTTGAACTTAGATGAGTCTGAACCACTCTTACCAACTAACAGCTGTTTTGAGGCTCGTGATGAAAATAAAATTTTCATAAAACTGGGTTAGATAGAGGCTGAGAAAGACTGGCAGAGTGGATATATATCTTATCAGTATATTGAAGGTAACCAAATCTGCTTGCAGCCTTTTATTTACCAGGTCAACCTGTTATTGGATGGCCTTAATAAAAGTGTAGGTATTCTCTGCCAATCCTCTCAGAATCACTCACTGGAAAGAGAAAAAGCAGTTTTGCAATCGACTCCTTTTTCTTATTCTTCAAAAAGGAACAAAGATGCTTGTTTCATAGCTCTCTTGATGAGCTACAGAACTGTGTTTCCATTAGAAGCTTTTGGTTGTGACTGAGAAGATCCTCAGGGTTTTGGTACTAATCTGACTGACTTCAAGTTTAGCATCTAGATATAATGATTAGTTGCATGATTCATTGAATCTCTGGCAGTCTCAGCATAGGCCAAGAATTTAATGATAAGAAGTAAACTTGCTGTGATTCTGCCTGTGTTGTAGTCATTTTCTAGGCAAGCGTTATGTCCTTCTCCATGAGTATCAGCCAGACTTTTGAGTTCTTTTTCAGTGTTTGTTTCCAATTGTATTTGCTGCTCTGATGTGTTGGGTGTGGCTTTGTTGTTTTTTTTTCCTTGCTCTCCTTCTTCCAGAAGTACTCAGCAAATCACCACACTCCTTTCCCCTCAGACCTTGCGTTCCTGTCAGAACAAGTGGCTGCAGCCTGTGGTTTCAGGGGTTTCCAAGCCCAAGCAGGGATCTTGAACTACTATCATTTTGACTCTTCACTGGGAATTCATGTGGATGAGTCTGAACTAGACCATTCTTGGCCCCTTTTATCGTTCAGGTAAGTCAAGGGAAGCACTTGAGTGTTGTGTAAAGATTAGTGGCTATTTTCTAGGGTTGCATATGGTTACAGAAAGCCATTATGATGTAGTTTGCTAATTGAGTATATAATCTTCACTCTCTGAAGATTTGAATAGCAGAAGACTGTAGTTCAAGGACTTAGGTTTTTCTTTGAGGACTGCTTGAGTAGCGTGGATGTAGCACCTGGAGTGGAAGAACTCTTTGTACATAGCACTGTTCTGCTCTAAAGCAGCAGAGTGTCAATTGGGTACTAACAGGCAACAATGAAATAACTCAGCAGAGCTTCAGACTTGGCAGGGCAACTGCTTGCATAGTGCCTATCTTGAACCAGGCCTCTTAGTCTGTTTTCCATGTTCTAATTGTAAAGTTGTTACTAGGAGTCCATGTGCTTTTCATGATTGCTTGGGGTATTTATAAAGGGATTTAGCTACTGGTATTTTCTTATCATACAGATAATTGTTCTCTACCTGAATTTGTTTTCTCTCTCCATCCTTATACCATCTCTAGTTTTGGGCAGTCCTCAATATTTTTGCTTGGGGGCTGTAAGCGGGAGGAGGCCCCAACAGCGATGTTCATGCACAGTGGAGATATCATGGTGATGTCTGGCTTGAGCCGCCTGCTGTACCACGCTGTGCCCCGCGTGCTCCCCAACCCTGAGGGGACAGCCCTGCCTTCCTGCCTCGACCAAGCACTTCCTTCAGACCTTCCTGTTGGCTCAGTCATTGAACACAGCTCTGATGAGGACTGGCAGGTGTGTGCCAAGTACCTGCAGTCTTCCCGCATTAATATGACTATTCGGCAGGTGTTGGCTGAGGGTCAGAAATTTCCAGAGGAATCTGAGACAAATGGAAAGGACCAAACACCTTCTGAAGACAGTCACCATGAGAACAGCAGAGGCAAGAGACATAAACCAAATGCAGTCAGCTGAGACCAGGAGATCGTGTCGGCACGGACTGGACAGGCAAGCTCCATATGGAATTAGGAACTAATGTAGTACTGCAAGTCACTTGTCTGTATTGGGATAATAAACTTGTGCAGAATAAATGTAGTCCTGCTTGCTGTAAGAAACAGGTGGGGGCAGAAAAAGAATTTAAAATGAAAAGAAGTGTTAAGTTCAGGACTGAGACTCAGGAGATGAACTCGATTGACGTTTTGTTGCAGATGTTTACTCTGTTCCTTTAAAATACCTGTATGTCAGAGAATGTTAAGCTTGGCTAAGCTCAAATGGTATAAGCTTTTGGTTAAGCTTAGTTTAAGCTTTGTGAGTGATGCTCTTTTAAGTATTTTGAAATCATTGGGCAGAAAGTGTCAGCAAAAGATACATAAATGCTATGTATTAAAGAATCTTGTTTGGCTTTTAAAGCTCAGCTGAAGTGCAGTAGCAAATATAAATGAGGATAGGCTGCTATGAGTGTGACTTACCTGCAGCATTTTGAAAAGAATTACCTCTACAGCAAAAATTGGTTCAGTGGTCAGAAACCAGCAGCTCCCTCAAATGACACCTGTTAAAAGCTTGCTGTAGTCCTGTGCTCTCCTTTTTCCTGCTTGTACCCTCAGCTGCAGCAGAATCTGCTTTTATGAGTGGTACTGGACATTTTTTCATATCTCCGATTTTAGAGAGGAACAACTGGGGGCAGTATCTACTTAGAATATCTAGGAACTCCCAACTGGGTCTCCTCCCAACAGTATGTGACTGAGCCCAACATCTCTACTCTTTCAAAACTGCCCCCCCTTAAGTGCCTGTGGATTATGGTTCCCAGTCCCAAGCTAGCATCTTTAAGGAACAGAATGACTTGCAAATAGAAGCAATGAAGTTGTAAATTAAGTACCTAAAAAATTAATCAGTGACTATCTCTGTCACCCAAAGATAAATACACTGAAACAAAGAAAAGCACCAGCTTTTGTGCCAGCTCTTTTTAAGACTCAGACTTTCCTATCTGCTTTTTAATGCAATTTTAATTGTTGGAGTGGAATGCACTATCCCTGGGGTATTTTGTTGCACTTTCCCAATGAATAAACTTAGTTGGTTTTTAAATTAAAGATCTCTTATCAGTTTTGCACTGGCTATTTTCTTCCTTTTTCTCCCTGTTAGTTATTTCAGTGTATTGTTAATGCTGCTGCATCCCTTGTGTCGTTCCCTCCAGGCTTCTTTCAGATCTACTGCCTCTGCCATCTGCCAGCTCTGGTGGAGGAGCCCTGTGTATTTCTGCAGGGCTTCTCTGCTTATGGGCAGCTCAGGGTTTGTTGGGCAGTTGCAGAGGGGTGTTGCCTGCAGTATCAAAGTCCAATTTAGTACATATGTGGCAGTTTTTTCCTCAAGGATAAAGTGTCTGGTCTTTTTATTTCACAGCAGGTGAATGTGTTTTTTGTGTGCTGTTAATTCCTTCTAAAACACTGCAAAGAGCTCAAGTAACTTGGAGCCTAAAATAATCAGAAGTAGGTTTCAGTATCTTATTCTATGTTAGACATGTGTCCTTTCTGTATCCTAGGCCTGCTGTATTTACAGCTCAGCCCTAGGACAGTGAATGTATTATGCAGAGAGGTTACAACATGACCAGAAAGGAAAGTTGACTGAGTCAGGCTCAGAAAACAGCAAAGTTCCCTTAGTGGCTCCTGAAGGTGGGGGAGAGGAATATCTGTTTTCCTGACAGTGAGAAGAGAGACTGTGTGTTCTTCACTCTTGAGAGGGGAGCAAAAGTCATCCAACTCACACATCTCTGAAGATGAGAAAAGACAGTCATGGAACCAGAAGGTGGTGAATTGGAGCTGGTTTCTTCACCTCGCAGGCTGAGGTCTAAGTCCATGTTCTCGTTTCTTATGTCTTCTGTTCCCTACAAATATGCAACATATGACAAGCAGTCATTTATTGCAGAATACAGTTGTTCCTGTGACTCAAGGACACAAAACTATACTGTTTATCCTCTGTAGTTTAAAAGTGTAGTAAATGCTGGAAACTACTGATGGCATTTGTTTGTGAGAAGTATCCAGTCCATTGAAGCCTTATGTTTAGATGTGACTGAGTCGAGAATTTGCTGAGTTACTGACTTGCAGTCAAGCTTGTTACCTAATGCCATTGTGAGAGAGACAGCTCTGATCTCATTCTGTATCAGACACCTAGAAAAAGTCCACGACCCAGAAATGGGCATATGGGAAATGACCCAGAAAAAAAAAGGCATCCATGTACAAAGAGAAACAATAATAAGAAGAAAGAATTTCCTGAACCGGCAGCCCAGCAGGATCATTGATTCTGTGACTACAGCAGAGTGGAGTACAAATGAGCAAACCACAGGACTTCTGTGGGCTCTGTAAACTGTGCTTCCAGAATTTCAAAGAGGCAGTAACAGTCCTGGAAAGAAGGCAGGTAATGGCGCTGAATCCAGTGATATCCTCAGGAACCACTGACTTACTCCACACAGCTTTCAGACTCTGGCATTGCACTACATTTGTTTAGGTTTGTGATGAAATAACAGGATTTTTTCATAGCACTGATCAAATTTTTATATCTATAGGTGCTACAAATAATTGCTTGTGTTCCTATGGTGCATGCTGAGATAATCTCTGTAGTTTTTCATTCCTTTGGGGGGGGGAGGGAAAGAAGAGGACATCTGGAGCAATTCTGCTAGAAAATTTATGTAATGAGTGGATTACAGGAAAATAATCATGTGTTTATTTCAAAGCCATCTGGGAATGAAGCACACTATCACATGTACACATCACATTAATTGTATGATCCATAGATAAGACTAGCTGTCCAACAGAGTTTAAACAATTATTGCTTTTTTTTTATAATGAAGAATAAGGGAAAATAAAATCTCCAGTCAAATCAGAATCAGGGGACACTGGAAACAGACAAGGAAACTGCTGGTACAAACTTACACTTTTCAGACCTCTTCAGAGTACTGTGCTAGCCAAGTTCAATGTTACAAACTGGACTGCTGGCTAGTACTCGATACTACATGGGCTCTGCATGCCCGCCAGGCAGCAACTTATAGGCAAGGCAATCCCTAAAGCTGTGCCTGCTGCTGGAACGATTCTGATCTTACCTATTTTTCCCTTCTTTGAGAGCTTGTTGACCTTTTTTCCTCATTGTTCCACAGCAGATATTTCTACAGATTGTAGTAAGGTGCACCTAAGCCCCTCTATTTATGCTGTGTGCTCTGCTGAGCTAGTAGGTAGAGAGGTAGTAGTAGTGAGAGGCTAGGGGAAGAAGCTGGTAGGTAAGGGACTACCCAGACAGTGGCACAGAATTGCACTGCCCTGGCTACAGATCCAGGCTGAAGCTGGCGAGTATCTTACAGAGTGCAGACAAGAGCTTGTATCTGTTTTCATTTGTTTATGTAAGTTATTCTTTGCATCACACCTGAAACAGCACAGATTTAACACAGAAAAGAGACTTGTCAGTGACAAGATTGTCTTCCACTTTAATTAGAGTGCAAAATTAATTGAGCTGTAATTCAGTGTGCTCTAAGCATACTTTAGTTCTGATGAAATCGTAAAACTTGCCTGAGTCTGAACACATTACCTCAAAAAGTTAACAGAAGCACATGGCCTGCAGACATTAATGATTCAGAAAAATAAGTTGCTGGATGTTTCAAAAGACCCATATATAAAGGGCCTTTTTTTTTTTTTTTTATAATCTCCATGCAAGAAGAGACTTAGAGAAAACCAGTGACTGTCATCCACAGTCTGCTGTTGTCTCTCTAAATGCTAATAACCAAAGCTGATTGAAAATAATGTGTATTATAATACTATAGATCTGGTACAAGAGGCACAAGATGTGACTGACAAAAGTTTAGCACAGTACAAAATACGTTCCACTATTTATATTCAGCAAATAATAATAACACAAATACCTTAATAAACACATTTTTTCTATAGAAGGAATTAACAATGACTATGTTCATATGTCCCCTGGTAAAGTTTAGGTGACATAAAAGTTGCTACTGTGTGACAGCTTTGCTCATACAAGCAGTTTCCTTACATCATCATCTGGTATGTGTTGTCAGAGGACCACGCAAATGGTTGAGGGGACCTCTGGAGGTGTCCAGTCCAACCTACCACTAGGAATAGTGCTGTTTCCCACAGGAGACTTAAAAACCTTCCATGATGGAGACTTTACCATTTCTTTCAGTAATTTGTGCCCAGTACTGCCATACTCACCTTATTAAGAAATTTTGCCTTATGTTCTGCCTGAGTTACCCAAAATACAATTTGTATCCATTCCCTCTGCATTTTTCTGACCATCTCTTGCTACCAAGAGTTTGTTTCCACTGTCTTTGTAACTCTTCTAGAAATAATTGAAGTCTACAGTTAGAGCCATCCCCCTTTAGTCTCTTCTGAGCCTGATGGAAGGACCCCAGGACTCACAATATTTCCCCATGGATAACCCTGGGCCCTGACTTTCCTCACTCAGCCCTCTTCAGAACCTTTTCTGATTTCAGGTGCTGCATCACTCTCTCTGCTAGTGCTGGTTTCTGTTACAACCAGGATGCCAACAACAAACTGACCATCCTGCTGAGTATCCTAGTTCCTAAATCTGCTAATTCACTAGATCTACTGGATCCTATGCTGTGGGATTTTTATATAGTGTTTCCTAAATTAAATATTTTTTTCCTCCCATCTACATACAATAAAATAAAAGCAGTAGTTCTGTGAGGTGCAGAATGAATGTACCACAGTTCCCTGTGGATTTATGTTCCTGAAAAATTCAGGTCTCACTGAAGCTCTTCTTCCTGCTGAGTATTTAAAAGTGATTTTTTTCCATGTGATCTCCCCAGAGTTTAATACATGCACAGTGCCCCCTTTTCCTGAATCAGGATACTTTTAGGGTCCCTTTCCTCTAACTGGCTGTCTACTACCTGCTCCTTAATTAGCTGTGAAATCTATCAAATCTAATTGAAATAGACCAACAGGTTTCCCCCTACTGGGCAGGGATGTGAGGACACACTGAGTTTAACACATGCACAAACCATGAGAACATATGCCTTATTCCTTTAGGAAGTCAGTCTCAAAAGGCTACTTCCTTGCTCTTAATGCAAGCTTGT